GAGATCACACCACCGCACGCCAGCCTAGGCGACAGAGCAAAACTCTGTCTCCAAAAAAAAAAAAAAAAAAAGGATAAGAGATGTTTGGCTAATGATCAAAAGTATTTCTAATGGGCAGGAACACTTCATGCCACTTCAGTCTACTAAGTGCTGTAACACCTTCAAAACAACTCTATACATAAAATTTGCAGGCTGGGGTCCAGCTCTAAAACTCGTAAAGGTTACAGGACTAGGCTACAGATGTGTTTACAGGATTTACAGTCAAATCAATGACTTGTGACATGACTCCGGAGACACTACAGCTTCACTTTCACATCATACATTCTTAACAAAGAAGGCGTAAACAGCTCTTAGCTTCCCATCATCTTAGTTTTAATGGCTCTATTTTAGCCTCACATGGGAAATTCTGAAAATGAAACTATTTCCAGGGTAAAACTATTTCCAGAGTAGATTCTGGTTCTGGCACCAACTGACCAAACCACTAACAAAATTATAATAAAGTCAGCACTGGATCATTCTGCCTTTGTAGATAAATCAGTAGCTGGTTCTAAGCTTTCTGAACTGCTGATTTAGTTGCAGGGCACGTGGAATACACTTACTTAAATAAAATAAAAATAGCTGACTCACTAGAAGGTATCCAAAAATCTGAAAATATAATTTCATATGTCACCAAAAATTTACTTTAGTTTTGTTCAAAACTGTTTTGTTTCTTATTCTTACAAGATGTAATGCTATCTCAAAGAGTTCTGTCCCCATGGTATTTTTCATACCACATGGCATACCAGTTTTATATTCCAATATTATAATTATTAAAAACAAATGTTGGACAAGTAAATATATACATTGGGGCTGTCTGCAAGTAAGGCACACAAAAGCAAATATTCAACAGAACTCATTAATTAGCTTCTCCCTGGAAATCACAGGTACTCATACTTGATGTACAACTGTCTAACCTGGAATACATAACAAAGTGCCACCACACGGTTAACAGCACTTATGCCCACAGAGCATATTTTTGAACAAAGTTCATGTATATTCCATTTGCTTAGCTAGGCATCTAAGCGGATTTCTTAAGAACCTCATTTCCCTACAGGAAAAATAAGGAAACTGGTTCCCTCAGACACATAAAAAAATTGAGGATTAAAAAAAAAAGAGGCAAACCTCATTTCAAATATTCTGTACCTAATAATCAGGTGTTAGAGGCTAATTACAGTATATATCACACCAGCACACTGATAGATGAGATACAAAAATTTTTAAGACACCTTTTTATACAGTGAAAGACAAGAAATTTAACATTTACTCAGCCCCTTCTATGTGGTAAAGATTTTCTCAGTTAATCTCCACAGCAACCCCATGAGGAAGCCATCACTTCTGCTTGTGAAAAAAACTGCAACTCAAGAGATAAGAACCCCAGACTTTGAACTGTGCCAGATCTGTATGTCTGACCTAGCAGTGTAAGCACTTTCTATAAACTATATGAAGGCACTTGAAATTAAGTATCAAATTTTAGTTTGAAGGTTGTTATTTATCGAAGAAATGAGTGAGAACACTAGAAAATAAAGGTTCTCTAATAACCCTATCCCATAATAAGTACTTCAATTGTGAAATTTTTTCTTTATTTCTCATCTTTATAAGGTTTTCAGCAGTTCTGAAAGTGTCTCAAGTAGGTGAGAGAGAAATTTATTTGACTGCCTATATGATTTATATCACTAAATATTGCTAGAAATATTAGATCCAAAACCAGAAAAGACTTAAGCACTAGTGAAGAAATAAAAAACATGAAATCTGAACCCAAAACACAAAATATATATAAACATAAAACTGAAAGTTGAGCTCCGTAACCATGCGCAAAGAGTGAAAACTGGATGAGTTTTTAATCATTGATCACAATCTTCATGGAGCTAAGAATTTTTATAATCTCTTAGTCTTGTAAGGCCTACTATATTACTAATCTTACCAGAGCTATTAATACATCACAATTATAGATGATCCGAAAGCAGATTTCCCTGTCAACAAATTATAGTATCCCTTACCAACTTCAAATAGCTTAACTCTTGTGAAAGGAAACATGTGTCTTCAAAGAAATGTAAAAACCTGCAAGCTTGCTGGGTGCGGTGGCTCACGCCTGTAATCCCAGCACTTTGTGGGGCAGAGGCGGGCGGATCACCTGAGGTCAGGAGTTCAAGACCAGCCTGGCCAACATAGTGAAACTCCGTATCTACTAAAAATACAAAACTTAGAGGGGCGTGATGGCAGGTGCCTGTAATCCCAGCTACTCGGGAGGCTGAGGCAGGAGAATCGTTTGAACCCGGGAGGCAGAGGTTGTAGTGAGCCAAGATCCAGCCACTGTACTCCAGCCTAGGGGACAGAGCAAGACTCTGTCTAAAGCAACAACAACAACAACAGCAACTGCAAACTTTACAAACTTTACTGTTATTTGAAAAACTAGAAAGGTTCAATATACAATTATTAAGCACGTATCATTTTTAGGTTACCATTCATGCTTGTGCTCCATATCTGCAGAAATCCCCTTGGACAGTTTTTATTAAAATTTAAATTGTTTGAAAACAAGGATATGCATCTAAAGTTGCAGGAGCTGGAGCCAAATATTCTACATCTAATTAACTGGACGAGTTACTTAAACTCTTTCTAATCTGTAAAAGAAATATTTATATAATGGTCTGGACTCAGCGCATCAGTTTGAAATCCCTCCCCCCCACCCCTCCCCCAAACGCGGATCAGTCCTATGAATCCCATGGATTCAGAAAACACAAATTTATCAACTAAAAAAAATCAGAGACACTTATGTCACCCAAGAAGTGGATTCCTTTAGAGACTTTTAAACTACAGGATTACTGACGTGTTTACAAAAACAGAGAATGGGTCCAGGAAATTATCTTTAAAGTTCATATGGCTGTTTCCATACTACGTTCAAGGTCTGTTCCTCGATTCAAGGTTATTAAGCGCAACACATTTCCCCTTTTAAACTGCCCTCCTAGTAGCACCACCGATAGTAGGTGATAACACTGTAAGGAAGGTCGGATTCTGTCCCGGCTTCCCGGGTCGGCCCGTAAAGGGTGGTTTCGCCTTAACACTTAAAAGTCGGAGAAGGAGGGGCTTGGGGACGCCAGGCGGTTGCCCAGTCAACCAACCCACTTCCTCCTGAAGCCCGGAAGTGACACATGTCCCGGAACCTACGCGGAGCCAGGGTCCGAGACCCTCTGAGCTGCTAATCTCCGTCCTGATCCATTGGTTGGGAAAGAGATTGGAAACATCACCGCAAAACATGCTGCAAACCCCGACTCGGACTCCGCTGGGGCCGAACCAACGCCCTCGCACAGCCTCGACTCCCTCCCCAGCAGCCGGCTCGCCGCCGCCCCTCTCGCAACCAGCCATTTTCCAGGCCCGCGGGAACGCGCGCCGCGCCCCTCCCACTCCCACGTCACACCCGCAGGCCCCGCCCCCGGCGCGGGGGCCCTCCCCGCCACACACGCCCCTCTCTTCCTCTCTCGCGGGGGACCCCTCCCCTCTTAACCATTTTGCCGAAAGAGCTGGGCTAGGGCTGCGGCTCGGGGCGGCCGAGAACTTTCCCGGGGCAGAGAGCGGAACGGACTGCTCTCCTCCCGGCCGGGGTAGGAGCGCGGAGGAAGGCCCCCTCAATCTGCCTCCGCGGCCTCTCGCCCCCTCCCTCCCGCACGTTCCAAAGCACCCGCACTCCGGGGTGGGGGCGAGTGAGGTGGGGAAGTGCGCCCCGCAGACCAGCGGGAGCCCGGCCGCTCACTCCCTCTGGCCCTTGCCCGGCTGCAGTCCTGGGCCGGGGCGGCAGGGTCTGCGGCACGGGGCAGGCGAGCGCCTGAACAAATGCTTGCTGCTTAAAATGGCTGATTCCCCTCCGCGGCAGCTGCAGCCGCTGGGTCTGCAGCGGGGGCTGACGAACAGCCCCCACCCCCACTCCGGGGACCCCAGAGAAGTACTCGCCCACCGCGGGGCAAGGAGGGCCGCGAACCCAGTCTCCAGTCCTCCCCGTCCCGCTCGGCAGACCCTCGGTGGGCTCGGGGAGACTGTCACGGGAGAAAGGGAAGGTGGCACTGCCCCGGCAGGCTCCCTGCCACCGGCTCCCGAGGCCGGCAGCCCCGCGGCCCCTACCTTGATATTTGTTGTCCAGCTCTCGCAGCACAGACACGTTCCTCTGCATGTCGTGGGGCAGCGACTCCACGCACTCAAGGTAGTCCTGCACGTAGCAGGTGAGCAGCCGGCTCCGCTCCCCGGTCAGGAGCGCGGCCGACGAGTACAGTTGCTGCTGCTGCTGCCCTAACATCCTGCCGATGCGCGCCGTCGCCGCCGCCTCCGCATCCAGCAGCCGCACATGCACCGGCCGCGGCCGCCGCGGTCCCTCAGCTCAGCAGCCCGGCGCCGCGGGGACCCCGCAGCCGCTCGAGAGGGCACGGCCGCGCTCCCCGATCTCCACTCCCCCCAGAGCAGCCCTCACTCCCCGCCCCCGCAGCACCAGCCCAGGGGCGGGGCGAAACTGGGGCTCCCTCCTTTCTCCCCTCCCGCTCCAGGACCGGAGCAGTGGGGATCCCCTCGGCGGGGCCGGCGCCGGGGTCCCGGACGCTGACACTTCCTGTCCCCCTCGGAGTCCCCAGATGCTACCAGTGCCGTCTCGCAGCCCGGATCCCCATGACAAGCCCGTCGCCGCCTGCCTGTCCCCAGTCACCCTCCGTGCCTGACGGGGAGCCTCCCGCTGGCCTGCCCCCGCCCCTCCGCCCGCGGCCGCCTCTGCGCCTGCGCAGCGCTCGATCCCAATAAGGCCGGGGCCCGCCCCTACCGCCTACCGGAGGGTTCGCATTCTCCCGCCTTCGCTTTGCCGCCCGGGCGATTGGTCTGCCGGCTCCGGGCTAGGGGGGGAGGGTGTCGGGGGCGGCCAAACGGCAGGCCGCGCCCCGCCCCCCTTAAAGGGGAAGCCTGGGGAGCCAGTCTCTGCGCCCCGCGTCTGAATGGGACCCGGCAGGGGAGGCGGCTCGGTCCTTCCGGCCGCCCTCCCCGCGGGGAGGGGCAGCTCCGCCCGGCCACACCGGCTTTTTACCCATCCGGCGGTCCGAGTGCGGCTCCTCGCGCCCCTGCAAAGGAGCAGCAGGCGGTTCCTTTTTTTCGGACGACCCGGAGCGAGGCCTGCAGGACTGCGCGTCCCGGCGGGCAGCGGGCGGCAGGCGGCGGGCGGCTCCCGGCATGCGCGGCAAGGCGTTCCCGCCGCCTCCGAGCTCGCCTGGGGCTGCCGCCCGCCTCCTGCCGGGCCCTCGGGCTCGTCCGGCACCGCGGGGCTGATCGGGGAGGTAGGCGGTGCTTCCTCCGGCCCCCGGCGTCGTGTGCCCTGCGGGTTTCGTGGCCCTTCCCCTGCGCTGGAATCTTCTATGTCATTTAGGGGGAAGGGATGCGGGACGGCATCTGCCTGCCAACGCATAGGTCCCACAGACAGCCTTTAAAAACAACTGCGTTTGGGGTGTGTCAGAACATTTAAACACAGGACGTCGGCGGGGCTTCCTGGCGGAGTGGGGCACACGCCAGCTTTGCGGGACTTTTTGCTTGGTCCTGCCCCAGGACTACAATCGGAGGGGACCTGGGGCATGCAGACGCGAGTAAAAACCTAGTCAGCGGGCGGGCCCTCGGCCCCGTAATCTACGTGATCTCCTAGTGGGGTTTAATTTCGGTGTAGTGTAAACGAGATGCCAAGCAGAGGAACTGATTTTAATTTCATATGGACTTTTTTGAAAGAAATGGGTGCAAATAGAATGAATGCATGGAGAATTTTAATGGAATGCCTATGTAAACAAGCCCTATTGTGAGTACTACCTTTGAGTTAAAAAGAAAATGTGAGTGGTGACAAATTTGGATCTTCTTAGATCCAGTTTGCAGCGTTGGTACACCTGAATGGTGACCTATTTAGAGCACTTTTGAAACAGCTGTTAATAGTAACTAGCTTTTGACTTGCAAAGAGAAATCTAGATCTTTATCTAGAGGAAATTTTAAATTTCAAACCAAAATGAAGCACTCCAGGCAATTTGACGTCGTAGGACGTCAGCTATTTCAAAGGACTGGGAAATCGTCATGGGTTATTATCCTAGGACACTGAGGTTTGGGCCAGTATTAAGTCAACCCAGACAGTACAATGTATAGTATTTCTGAGAACATTTGGGGATTTTACTGTTCTTTAAACCTTTCGGCCGGGTCTCGTCAAAAAACGGCCACTGTGAAGAACTGAATTTTACTGGTTTTTACTTGAACTCTACTATTTTTGTTTTCTCACAAATTTGAATAAGATGGTCTTTATCAAAGGCCCAAAATAATGTGGGGTGCCTTGTTACAGGTCAAACACCGAATGTACCAATGGATTTTTTTCAGTCTGATAAGTGATCTGCAGGTAGATAAAAGAAGTGTTTAGAAACTAAAAGGGGGAAAAGGCAAAGGTGCAGAATACCTACAGTACTCCAGAAACAGAGCAAGGTGATAGGAGGGATGAGCATGGGATAGGAGACATTTTATAGCATTATTTTCACCTTTTATAATTCTGTTGAACAGGCTGGAAAAAAGCAAAAAAATCCAAAGAATATTTTAGCTGCTACTGATCTAAAACTATAAAACACTGTAGTATGATAATATATGTATATGTATGAATTATTTTAGACATGCTTTTCTTGCCATATTTATTTTAAAAGGTTAATCGAAGGCGTATTCTACTGCCACCCTGCGAAAGCGGCCTGTGTGGGGAGAACACTTCAGTGGGGGAAAAAAAAATCGCCACAATCCCTAAACCCTTGACCTTGATTATTGAGCACTGTCCTGCCCTTCTGAATGGTCACTTAACTGCAAATACGGGGCCTCTTCAGATTGAATTTCTTGTCTTCTAAATGCAAAATTTAAAATCTCCCGTTCTCAGCAACTAGAAATTAATTTATGGTATTTAATCCTGTGAATAAAGCAAAAAGGCATTTTCTTTGCTCCACAGTGTATTATCTACCACAAAGCAACCCTAAAAAAATAAATAAATAAGTAACTGATCTCCCTAAATTAGTCTGGGATTACCTTGAATTTCTAAGTCAGTGACTTTAAGAGGTCCCTGGCAGGGACTGTGTGTGCCTCCGTACCTGTCTCTTGGGGAGAGCAACAACTTCAAACTGATTGAAAACAAACTGGCAAGTAATTGTGAAAGATTCCTAAAGAAGACTGCTGAGAAAATTCAGCTTCTGTTTGAGTCAGGCCAAATACATGAAATCCTTTTCTTTTTTCTACTTTTTAATATTTTTAAACTTTTATGGAAATTTTCAAACAAAGGCAAAAGTAATAGTACAATAAATCCTCATATACTGTTTACCCAGCTTCAACATTTAGCAACATCCCTTCACACTCCCTCCCTCTTGCTGGATTTTTATCATTTTATCTGTAAATACTTTAAATATGAATAGGTAAAATATAGCAGTTGTTTTTTGTTTGCTTGTTTTTGAGATGGAAATTTGCTTTTGTCGCCCAGGCTGGAGTGCAACGGGGCGATCTTGGTTACAAGATCTTGGATCTTGTAACCTCCACCTCCCAGGTTCAAGCGATTCTCCTGCCTCAGCCTCCCAAGTAGCTGAGATTACTGGCGTGTGCCACCATGCCCAGCTAATTTTGTATTTTTAGTAGAGACGGGGTTTCACCATGTTGATCAGCCCAGTGTTGAACTCCTGACCTCCGGTGATCCGCCCGCCTCGGCCTCCCAGAGTGCTGGGATTACAGGCATGAGCCACTGTGCCCGGCCAAGATAACAGTTTTTTAAACATATCCATAATACCATTTATTCTATCTCCCCAAATTTTCTTATTGTCATTTCATAACTACACAATTCAAATTTTCCTGTTGTCTCATTAAATCTTTTGCATTTGGTCTAACAGGATCCAACAAATCCCATGCATTTTATTTGGTTAATGAGGTCTTTTCCAAACCAGTAAGAGGCAGTTAATTCCCTGTTTAATTCAGTGAAGCAGAGAGCAATGTTTTTCTGAGGAAGATATTCAAGTAGTTTAAAATCACTGCTTTAAGTATGGAGAAATTCAAGAAGAAATCCTCATATGAAAAAGTCACCGATTGACAGCGTGTTGTAAGAAATGTAATTGTACCTGATGCAAATAAATAAATCCTTAATAATCTAGGAGTCTGCGTTAGAGTGTAATTTGTTCTAGAAGGTCCAGTGAAGCATCTTAAATTATAGTGAAAAACCCTAAAACTTTACATCAATTCATTAGTACAAAAAGCAACTAAAAAAAACCTAATAGTCCTGTAATCCCAGCACTTTGGGAGGCCAAGGCGGGCGGATCATGAGGTCAGGAGATCGAGACCATCCTGGCTAACACGGTGAAACCCCGTCTCCACTAAAAATGCAAAAAATTAGCCGGGCGTGGTGGCGGGCGCCTCGAGTCCCAGCTACTGGGGAGTCTGAGGCAGGAGAATGGCGTGAACCCGGGAGGCGGAGGTCAATGAGCCGCGATCACGCCACTGCACTCCAGCCTGGGCGACAGCAAGACTCCGTCTCAAAAAAATAAATAAATAAATAATAATAGTTTGCATCTCCACTGAACTCAGTTTTAAAGCATTTTTGATTACTTTATTACATAAGTAATGCTATTGTAGAAAAAAATTAAATAGAGATAAAAAGAAGATATTTAAAAGTCACTACAAACTGGAGTTAATTCTTCTCAATATCTAAATATACTCCAAGATGTAATTCCATTTTAGCAGTTCTTTTGCTGTAAGAAAACACTTTGGCTGGGATTGAAGGACAAAGTTAGGCCAGGTGTGGTGGCTCATGCCTGTTAATCCCAGCGCTTTGGGAGGCCGAGGTGGGCAGATCACCTGAGGCCAGGAGTTCGAGACCAGCCTGACCAATATGATGAAACCCCGTCTCTACTAAAAACACAAAAATTAGCCGGACGTGGTGGCATGTGCCTGTAATCCCAGCTACTCGCTTAAACCCAGGAGGCGGAGGTTGCAGTGAGCCGAGATCACACCATTGCGCTCTAGCCTGGGCAGCAAAAGCGAAACTCCGCCTCATTAAAAAAAAAAAAAAAGGACAAAGTTAAGAAAATATCAGATCCTCTAGAAGGAATATTAGAAATCTGAACCATATCACCCTGTACGTGGAGTTAATGTGATAGACCACACAGATTTAACTGGTGTATACAGTCAGTCCTACTGCTTTCCATTATAGTACTAGTCAGCATTTAGGATGACTGCTAAAAGCAAAACAGGATCCTAAAACATTTTAACGAAGGGACCGTGTGAATGACTGGGACTGTAGAGAAGAGGAAATTCAGTATAATAAGATCTCGTATTTTCATAACCAAGAAAAAAGGCGAACATACTATCCCCTTAGCTATCCCAAGGAGAAAAAATAGCACATATGGTATACTTTGCATATTGCTGACCAGAAAAACATTCAATTTTCCCTAGCTAGTTACCATAGTTACATGAGCCCTTTATAACATCAAGAGGGGGAACTAGGTCACAGTATTGAAGGAGTTTGAATTATGCAATTATGTTTTCTAAAAGCAGGGGAAAGGGTTTTTAATTGAGAGAAGAGAGATTTATGCTTTGTTCAAAATTGAAATTTTGGTCTGATTTTGCTGATGAAACCTAAAAATTTGTCCAAAATTTAATAGTTGATACAGTACATATAAATTACTCAACTTACACAAATAACAATAGCTAGATCCATAAAAATGACACATTATGTCTTTGTAGATATCCCTTTTTCTTAATGAGCTGTGTTACCCGAAAATGTTTTTGCAGGTAATCAGTAAACCCAACAATTGCCTGGCATCTGAGAGTAGCCAAACCATGTGTAAACTAAAGGCTTGAACTCTTCCGGTCTGTGAAAGTGTGAGGTAAAGGTTGGCACAGTGCCTTTCAGATGCTACTCCTTGTTGTACAGCAATTTTCCTATTAATTTCATCAAATGGAAGTGAGTGGCAGGAAGGGAATGTATTGAAAGTTGTGGTACCATAGCCTTCACCTTTCCTTTATATGTATTATAATTTTTACTAAGAACCTTACAAAAAAGATGTTTTTATTTAAAAAAAAAAAAAAAAAAAAAAGGCCTGGCCTTGTGGCTCACCTATAACCCCAGACTTTGGGAGGCCAAGGTAGGAGGATCACTTGAGAACAGGAACGTGAGAACAGCTTGAGTAGCACAGAGAGATCCTGTCTCTGCAAAAAATTAAAAAATTAGCCGAGTGCAGTGGTGTGCACCTATGGTCTCAGCCACTTGGGAGGCTGATGCAGGAGGATCCCTTGAGCCCATGAGTTTGAGGCTGCAATGAGCTAGGATCGTACCACTGCACTCCAGCCTGGACAACAGAGTGAGACCCTGTCTCAAAAAGAAAATGCATCTCAAGGTTGCATGATTTCAGATGTTTTCAATATCATGATCACTCTAGACTCGTAATTTTTTAATGCTGAAGTTATCTTAGATCAACGATTTCTCCAAAGGAAGGAAGAGCAGGCAACAGGCAGCCCAACTGGGTAGCTAGAGGAGCCAGTGCTGCTGATGGTAGTGTATCCTAACCATCATCTATGCAGGGATGGGGAAGAGGATGGAGATCACCAGCTTTTCTACAGGTGATAATATTTGGACCCAGAGAAGTTAGCTTGCCCAGTGTCATATAACAATCCATAAAATAAGTATATACCTAAAGTTTAAGAGATAAACAAATAATTATCTTTTTTCTGGCTGACAATTATTGAAGGGAGAATTGGGCCCATGGGAAAAAATTAAGAACTCGGATATCATAAAATATTTTTCTGTGAAGTCTTACAGCAAATTTAACATCTCCTCTGAAGGAAAATTAGAATTTGCTGAAGAATAATGTTTCAAGTAACCACCCAGTCAAAAGTACTAGAAACTGTGTATCCTTTAGACTTATTTTAAAGGATCAATGCCTTATGCCTTCAGCACTAGCTAAAGAATGGTCTTTTAAAAATGAAACTAATGCTATCGGCTAGGTGCTTTTTGCTAAATCTATCATTTATTTGAAGTGCTTGATTATTTAATGAGGTCTTACTGGAGCTATTGTTACATTAATTGCTCTTAGCATGGTTAATTTAATCCAACATTTGGTAAGTATTGATTATCTTTCATGGGGTAACAGATTTTTTTTTTTTTTTGAGATGAGTCTCGCTCTGTCACCATGCTGGAGTGCAATGGTGTGATCTCGGCTCACTGCAACCTCTGCCTCCTGGGTTCAAGTGATACTCCTGCCTCAGCCTCCCGAGTAGCTGGGACTACAGGCGCACACCACCACGCCCAGCTAATTTTTGCATTTTTTAGTAGAGACGGGCTTTCACCTTGTTGGGCAAGATGGTCTCAGTCTCTTGACCTCGTGATCTGCCCACCTCAGCCTCCCAAAGTGCTGGGATTACAGGTGTGAGCCACCACGCCCGGTAAGGGTAACAGATTTTTAAAAATTATTTATTTCCATAAATTGACATTCTCTGACTGTTTTATGCATGAAACCAGTATATCTCACTTTACACAATATATATGTTTCTGGAAAGTTGTATTTAAATCTTATTTTGCTAAATCAGGTAATTTTAGATGTGCCAGTTCTACAAAATGAGACCGAAATTTTGAAAATGAAAATATTCATTTAATACAAATAATTTATCTTATTTTATTTCTTTTTCTCTATTGTTACCTTGAGAAAACATAGGTTGTGTTCATTAACTGCAGTCTAGATGTACTTTCATTTTCTTGTTCTAACTGTAGTGTACATTGCAGATATTTTAGTACAACATCTTTTCATCACAGAAATGATATCTTCAGGGAAAAGACTTTGAGAAAGTGCCTGAAGTGACAGAACACATATTTTCTTCTGGTATCTGGCTAAAGTAAGTACTAGAATTAGATTAAAAACAAAGATATAAAAGATGGGGGGAAAATTATATGGGAAGTATTAGAAGCTAAAGAGCTCTATATTAAGGGGAAATAGAAGAAGCAGAAAAAGAAATGATTATTTGAGCCCTTACTGATGATGGTAGAACATTAAAATTAAAATTTAGGGGCTGGAATATTTAAATTTTATTTATGGAGACTATTTGTGATACTATTTTTCAATAACAAAAAATATAGTTGCTGGCCAGGTGTGGTGGCTCATGCTTGTAATCCCAGCACTTTGGTAGGCCAAGGCAGGCGGATCACTTGAGGTCAGGAGTTTGAGACCAGCCTGGCCAATATGACGAAACGTCATCTCTACTAAAATACAAAAATTAGCTGGGTGCAGTAGCAGGCACCTATAATCCCAGCTACTCAGGAGGCTAAAGCAGGGGAATTGCTTGAGCCCACGAGGTAGAGCTTGCAGTGAGCTGAGATCGCGCCACTGTACTCCAGCCTGGGCGACAGAGTGAGACTCCATCTCAAAGAAAAAAAAATGTGTGTGTGTGTGTGTGTGTGCGCGTGCGCGTGTGTATATATGTATGTATTTGTGTGTGTACATATGTGATGTGTGCATATATATGTGTGTATGTGTGTGTGTGTATATATAGTTGTAATACAGGGCTAGAACAATAGCATATCTAACTTAGTCTTTGACTGATAATTGGCATGTTGATTAAAAAATAAT